TTCCTTCGAGTGCCACATCATAATTTTGTTCTGCTTGTTGTAAATATTTAGTGAAGACTTGAGCCTCAGCTTAGAGTCAGGAAGACACAGTCTTGATAGACTGCAGCTATGTGACCCTAGTCCACGGTATCATCTCTTAGATGTCCACATCCTCTGCTGGAACGGAAATGAAGGCTTACTGACTTCACGTAGGTGTGAGAACTAAATGGCTTAAACACATGGGAGCACTTACCATGCTAAGTGCCAAGTCATCACCTTCCTTCTGTTTCAAATTTAAGTGTTCATACATATATGCATAAATCATAAATGTGTAATAACTCAATATACTCTGAGAAGACAGCACTCAGTTTAAGACAGAATATTTCTAGCATCCTAGAGGCCCCAGGAGATCCTGCTGGACGTCACATCCAACCCCTCCCACAAGAGAAGCCTTATCTACAAACACCATAGACTCTCATATAAATGGAGTCAGAACTCGACTGTGTCTCGCTTTTTACTTTTCCACTCGGCCTTGTGTTTGTAAGGCCTGTAGCATCTTGTGCTGTTAATTCTCTGTCTCATGTTTTGAGCCCACACTATATATTTTTCCCTATAATAAAAGAAAGCTGAGGGTCTAGGATGATTAAGATGGGCTCTGCTGCTGCCATCGTCTGTCTAAGCTTTTAACAAAATGAGAACTGTAAATCTTCAGAGGACCATGGCTAGAGTGCCCAAGTGACCACACACTTGCTGAACTAATGTCCTTGCTGATGAGATCTTCAGATGCTGTGGTTTAGATCTGTCCCCAAAGTTTAACAAAGTTGTCCCCAGTGCACCCAGGTTGAGGGTAGGACTTTTCAGAGGTGACTATGTCATGAGGCCTATGCCCACAGGAATGGATTACATCTTTGTCTCAGGAGGTGATTGTCTATCATGGAAGTGGGCTCCCGGGAAAAGGTGAATTTAGTCGCCACCACCCCCTGCTTCTTTCGGGTGCTTGTGGGCATGCGTACTTGCTCCCTACCCCTCTGCCTTCCACCATGGGGTGCGACAGATACTCATTTAAAGATATGACTTGGACTTAACAGCCTCCAGAATATAAGAAACAAATCCTTGTTCTTTATACATTACCTAATCTCAGGTACTCCATTATAGTAGCACAAAGTGAACTAAATAGCAGGGTGCCCAGACCCCGAGGACACCACCTCCGCTCCCTGCTCTTGGTGACTGCTTATTCCAGAAGAAAACTGCCTGAAGGGGACTGCTTCAAAGCTGTGCCTCTCTTCATAGCAAGACAGAGAGGGTTCTTCTCCAAAAGCCACGGGATAAATAATAGATAAAACCACTGCATTTGAATAGCACAACTCTAGGGATCTCAGAATATTTTACTGGGGCATTAAAGGAAGTTCTCTTCTCCATATCTGATGGAGGGGAGCAGGGTGCAAGACACACCTCAGCTCAATGCCACCCTGTCTGCAGAAACCCAACAAAAGTGAGACCCGGGGTGCCCCGGGGTGCTTTGTTTCATACTTGAAAGTTTAAACAAAAGCAAAGACTGAGTGGGAACCTGTTCGATTTTCATTGGCTTTGTATCTTGCATTTCATTCTAACTCTGCTGCATAGTCAAAGGAAAAACAGACTGCAGCTTCCATAGTTCTAGGAACCAATGACTCGGCCCTGTTGCATTTGGAATCTCCCAGGGCTGTCCGTCTGTAGCTACATGTGGATGTTAGTGCAGTTATGATACTGATTTTTAAGATTATAATGTGACAAAGGCCATGCTTTTAGAGACAGATGTCCTTTAAATAACATCGTCCCTCTTTTGTTCTGCTTGTCTTCTATGTTAAACCCTTAAGAAAACTGGTTATTTACAAAGGAAAAACCTATTCTTTTGTGGTTTGGATGAGAAATAGCTCCTATAGACTCATATATACAAACACTTAGATCTATGCTTGTAGCTCTGTTTTGTTGTGGAACCTTCATTGCTGGAGGAAGCAGTTCTGGTTGAGAGCTGGATCCCATTTCCCATCCTGTCTGCTTCCTCACTGTAGATACAATGAGACCAGTTACCTCACATTCCTGCCAGCGCTTTTCTCTTCATGATGGCCACCATCCCTTTTCAAACAAGACAAACCCTTTCTTTTTCAAATTGCTCCTTGTCGGTCAGACATTTGCAGCAGTAAGAAAATTAACTAAGACACACACACACACACACACACACACACACCTTCCTTGTGCTCCCTTCAAATGGCCTGTTCTTTTGCTAAACAACTTTTTGGTAAAGGTCTTTGATGAGTCATATTTCTCCTTTAGTAATTCCCATCCATTATCCTTAGTTCTAGAGCCACCTAGATCTGCTCCAACCCACTGTGCAGACCCTTAGCTTTCAAGACAGCAATGTGATATCCCAGCTTACTGTCTGCATTCCTTCTTTGCTAGGATTGAATCCTTTCTTCTCAAAGTTGCACATTCCTAGTATATAAAATATTTACTATGGAAAGTAATTATTTTTAGCTTTACTTTGATTGCTGTGTTAATGTTATTCTTGATGTTTAATGTCCTGTATTGAAGCATGCTATTAATCACAAAAAAATCATAGGATTGAAGTTTTAGCAGTGCTTACAACAGACTAGTGGATTAAAAAAAATCATATGATTGTAGTGTGATAACATGTCTATCTTGCATATTTTATCATAATTCCATAGAATCAGAGTTCAATATAAAGCAGATGTCTTAAGAGAAAATTTGATATGAATTTATGATCTTAGAAAATGAAATTTTGACTTTTTAATATGTTTCAGAAAGCAGAAACCATGAAGAAAATGTCTGATAAATTCAATGATATTTATGTATTATACATATGAAAATATCATCAACAAGTAAAGAAGTAAAGGATGAATTAAAAAGCATTTTTGTAATATATGTACCAGAGAATAAATAAACTAACCATACAAAGAGCTCTTAAAATTAATTTTTAAATAAAAGATGAATCATTCTAATTGAAAAGGCAAGGAAATAAACAGGCAGTTTTGGAAGAAATTTAATATCAGATATATGTGAAAACATTGTGTTCCTTAAGTAATGGAAGATATTCTCATTAAAACAAAATAATGTTATTCATCAATAAAACTTTTAAAGGTGCAAAAATCCTCTCTTAACTGTAGGCAGAGTTATCAGGCTATGGATATGAGCATGTACGCTCCAAGTCTGATGCATTGAGGCAGAGACTGGTATAGATTTTTTGGGTAATATTGAAAACAATGACTCAAGAACTTAAAAAGGAGTACATGCCATTTAATCCAGCAATTCCATTCTGAGTAATTCTACATAAGTAAATAACTATTATTAGTTGTGTGGATACACACACACACACATATATATATCCACATAATCACTAAAGTGTTACTTCAACACACATGCACACAAAAAACCCTTTGCAAAATATAGCTAAGTAAAACAGGGCAATATATCTGCATATCATTTATATTTACTTAAAGCATCACAATAATATAACATAATAAAATATATGTAATAGATATATTAAAAGATGAATTATATTGAAGTGAAAAGATGAACTAATGCACCCTTATTACTACAAGTGAAATGAATTGTCCTATGCAATTCCTGAAGGGGGTGCTCCTGACTCTGGAGACTATATATACATCAATATCCTTGCTGTTTTATTTCCAGCACTGTTGCTGCACATGAACCTACTGATATTTTAATTAGCATCTCCCCTACCTGCCCACCCCCAGCAGTCAGCATCCTGCTCCTCGAGCCATGGCTGGTGGGACTTCAGGTTATTCTAGCAACTGCTCTGCTGCTACTGCCAAATGTAGTTTTTAACTAAGTCTCTATTGTTCTGTGTACCAATAGAGACTTACGAGACAGATGTTGGGGTGAAAACCTGCTAGCTCAGAGAGGCCAAAAAGCAACCAGATAATCTTGCTTTTTGGCCAGAGACCCAGCAAGAGAGTATCTTTCCACTTGTCCCAAAGCAAAAGAGACCATGAATCTCCAACTCCCTCCCCACTCCTTCCTGTGCATCTCTCTATCTGTCTTCCTAGCTCCTTTATACTCTCTATGGCTAATTTCTGTCAGCTAGTCACTGGCTCCTCCCTCTGATCCAAGGTTGATTTTGTTAGCACAGTCTTGGGTTTAACAATGCAGTAAACATCCCACAACACATCCTGAAAATATTTTTTTGTTGAGGGATAATCTAGAGCCTTATTTTAATAAAATAGTCAACACGTTGGAAGCTGTATTGTACTTTAAAATGATATTATTAAAAGTGTAGATTATAATAAGTTATAAAAACATTCTATGTGGTGGTTCCTTTTAAGTAGACCTAGAACAGCCCATTGTAAGATGTCAAGTTTTCTAGATATCACAAAATCCCATGTATGTTGTATTATGGAAATATGACTCTTGGTGACTGAGTGCAAATGCTGACATTGTTACTGCTGCTTACTGTGGCGAGCAAGGGATTTCTGTGTTAGTATCCAAGAGTCTTGTACCTTCTGCTGCCATCCATGAAATTGTGGCAGTCTGCCTTGTTCCTTGAACTAAGATAGAATATTATACCATTCTTGATTATTGATAACCACCTCCTCGTTATTAAAAACAAAATTAAATTGACTGTTTAAAAACAAGATACCAGATTACTAGTCCCTTACACCTTTGCAACCCCTCCTTCCCACTGCTCTCTGTGACCAAGTTCCATTTATTCCAGTTCAGGCTCATACCTTCAGTCTTCCTCTATAGTTGCTATAGTGTGAAATTTTACCCTTTTCAAAACTCAAGTTAAAATTTAGCTGCCACTATAATGGGGTAAGGGGTAGAAATATGGGAAGTGATTGGACCATATGGGCTTGTTTCCTCATTGATGAGATTACTGCCTTTCTGTCTTCCATGATGGAATGAGGTGGAAAGAAGGTCCTCACTGGGTGGTAGAGCCTTCATCGTAGATTTCTTAGAATCTAGACTTATGAGGAAATCAGTATCTATTCTTAATAGCTTACCCGGTCTTCAGCATTTTGTGATAGCAGCTGAAGTAGATCGCAGTCTAGTGTGGTCTCATATGGGCCATCCAATATGTCATCTTGGAAAACGTTGTCGTCTCTTTCCCTATAGTTCATGTAAGAAGGGATAAGCTGAGTCTTTCAATGCCCAATAACAATGACTTTAAAAATCTAAGCAGTCAAGGGAGGTAGATGCTAGAAGAGGATGTGTTGAGGGTGACAGCTGGTTATTGAGACCACGTTTGTTCTGACGTAGTGGCCAGGATGGACACAAGCTAAGAAGACCAGGGGCTTGGGTGTATATTCAACCCAGGGAAATATACCCAAATACCTGTCCCATGGGTAGTTACTTCATCTCCTGATTCTTCGTCTCTGTTCTTCATTCAGTAGCTGGAGTTTTGATTACTGGACTCTAAGTTGTAACTAAGCAGAGAGCAGTGTTAGGCTCAGGCCCCGGAGAGAGACTAAGTCTCAGCTCGTGTTTAAAGCAGACTGGGATTTAGGCAGGGCTACTGCCTCTCACACTTCACTTCCATGACATTAATCTGTGGCCTGCTGCTGTGAAAGGACAGGGACAGGAACAGACACCGAACGCTGTGGAGAAGATGAGGAAGGAAAAAATATGAGGAGGAAGAGTGACGAGATTATCCAAGATCTGGGCCTGACTCCCTCCATAAAGACAGACAAGGGCTTACTCACATTAAAAATGTTTTGACACCCAGAAACTAAGATGTGGTGCCATCCAGAGTGTCTAGTAATGGATCTTTTTTTTAAGAGACAGACGACACGGTTGTTGGAGGGAGAACAAAGGAAGAGTTGCTGTAGGTTCTGGGAGGGAGAAGAACAGACAAGGCCGTTGCTCTGCTGATGACTGGCTCAGGCTTTCTCCCTGTGGTGTCTGAGGGAGCTGAGGACAGGAACCACCTGTGTAGCACACGCAGCAGGGATGATAGCAGCGACTGAGCCGGGAGCATGGCTTCCAAAGGCTTCTTGCTCTAAGTGTGTCTTGGTTTCAGCCTGTAAAGGTTTCTGAGGGTCAGGTCACGAGTGGCAGAAGGCCATGGTATTTTCCAGCTGAGAAAATCAGGATGAAAACTGAATACTTGTAGTGGCAAAAAGGGTTTTTTTGTTTGTTTGTTTGTTTTGAGGCTCAGAAAATCCCCACGGGCCACAGGACCAGGTTTTCTAGAGACCTGGTGATCAAAAGGAGAAAAGTTGGCTTTTGGTTTTCTTTTCAGAGATTCTGCAAATCTAGGTCCTAAATATTTCATATCCATCAGGAGCTCTTTGTTGTAATGGCAAGAGAGCCAACACATGTAGACTTCTCCCCTTCGTCATTATCCTTCATTAGGATCACGTTACTCACAACAATGTACAGAAAGCCTTTCTTGCCCCTCCCCCATACCCTTCTAACAAAGAACATAAAGAAACCTCAGCAGAACAGAGGACAGACAAAAGGGATTCCTTCCTCCCACTGACTTTATTTTCTCATTTTGTCTTTCAGCTGCCTGACTGGGCTCCATTCACAATCCAGATCCCGTGCAAAGTTTCTTGTCATGGATGTCTTTCACTGTTTAACCAGCAGGATCATACCATGTTTGGGACAGCCAGTATTGTTGTTTGAGTATGAAATGTCCCACATAGGCACACATATTTGGACACTTGATCCTTAGTTGGTGGTGTTTGGGAAGATTACAGAACACATTTGGCCTGGAGGCTTCCAGGGGGAAGTATATCATTGGGGCAGGCCTTTTGAGGTTTTATAGCTTGACAACACTTGCTTCTGATTTCTGTGTGTAAAGACCATGCAATCAGCCAGTTTTCTGTACCCTCTGCCATGTTCTCCCTACCACAATGGACTCTGAATCTATGGAACCACAGCCCAAAGTCTTTCTCCCTTGAGATGTTTTTGTCTGGGCATTTTGTGATAGTAACAGAAAAGAAACTAACGTAGCCAGGCTGTTTTAAGCCATGGTTGAATTGACGAAAGCCTGAATCAATGAAGCCTGGTTACAGGCTCCTCTCAGCCCACTCAACTCTCTACCATGGGACCTGAGCTAAGAGAGCACATGAATTTTCTAGTTGCGGGGTATTTGTTAGCATTTAGGCATCTGTACTGGCCTGCCCTTGGGGTTCTGACGCGATATGCCCTCAGCTGTAGCCACTAAGCGCACCAACTGTGCACATTCACTATGTTCCCTTTTAAAAGGACCCTGCCAACCTCCCATTTTCTCTCTTTCTTTCTCTCTCTCCCTCTCTTTGTCTGTTTCCTCTCTCTTTCTCTCCCCCTTTCCTCTTTTGCCCCTCTTTCCTTTCTCCTCTCTTCTGCTGCTCCTGTCTCTGGAGGCCGATCTCCACACTTCCCCTTTTTATGATCCCTTTCCCTAATTAAAAAAACAAAAACAAAAACAAACAAAAAAACCTCTGCTTGAACCCTGTCACATGGCATCTTTCTCTTGAGTGCCACTTTTTAAAAATTACAACAGTATTTGCGTGGGAAAATCATGAAAACCTAGGAGTTGAGGTAACCATGCTGAACAAGGGTCTATCTTTGGCAGTCTCTTAAACTTTGAGTCTATTGAAAGCTCTTCTCTCAGTCCCTGAGACATAAGCTTCTTTAGTGTTCTTTCTCTCTGTGCTGTTGTTATATCATATAGTGCCTTTTGAATCTATTTATCTCCCTCTCCAAACTTCTCCCGTTACCCCCTTTTTACCCTCTCAGCCTTTCATACCCATCTTTGGGGATTCTTTTTCCCTTCTTTCCCATCAAGTCCAGTTAGTGTTGCCTGGCATTCTTGTGAGTCAGGCCAGCCTTTTGTGTGGCCATCCTACCAGAGGAACACACCTCATTAAAGAAAGTTGATTCTCTCGGGTCGAACAACTTCCAAGTGGAATTACCTGCTCAGCTAGAGCAGGGTTTTTTGTCTCCACCTTTCATCCTCTATACTGGGAAGCTCACAAATGCTGTGAGCTCATCTGGGTGCCTTTCCCGTTGCATCTGGAAAAGCACCATTTTGTTGATGTTACAGAACACCTCTGGCTCTTTTATAAAAAGACTTGTTGGCCTTCTTTTGATTGTTGTTTGTTTGTTTTAAAGACAGGTGTATTTTTATTTAATGTGTAATGGTGTTTTGTCTGCAAGTATGTATGTGTACCACAAGGATATAGTGCCTCCAGAGGCCAGAAGGAGGTGTTGGATACTCTGGAATTCAATACTCATTAGCCATCATGTGTGTGCTGGACTTTGCACCCAGATCCTCTGAAAGAATAATCAGTGCTGTTAAACACTGGGCCACCTCTTCAGCCATACCTCTGGTTCCTACACTCTTTCCATCACCTCTTCCATGAAGATCCCTGAGCCTAGCAGGAAGAATGTTTTCTAAATGTCCAACTGAGGGTTGAACACTGGATGTAGACCAGTTAGAGGGTCTGTGTGTTCATTTCCATCTACTGCAGGGAGAAACTTCTCTGATAAAAGCTGAGAGGTTACATTCTTCTCTTTTTCTTTTTGCCCTGTCTTTTCCTTACATATGAACAGCTGGCTGCTTGCCCCCACTAGAGAGCAAACGTGTTTAATGCATACTCTGTCCTGCACACATACACATACCATCACCACCACCACCAATTGACCCAGCATCTGGTAGACACTCAATAAATCAATAAATGTTGGTTGAAATAATCTGAACACATGTGAACTAACCTTGCCTCTTCCTTTGCTTCTTCTAGTTGGGCTGCGATACTCCCAGGGCCTGTTGGCATTTGTCAGTCCTGGGCACATCTGTAGTCTGGAAGAAGCACAAGCATTTGAAACAACCTGAAGTCACTTTCTAGTTATTGTTCTCATGAAAAAAGATAGGCCTGTCTTACTTTGTCTATTTGAGCATGGTAAGGTAGAGGTCTAGTTAAAGCCAAGCAGCTCCTGGGAGCTTTATAGGTAGAGCCTACCTTTGCTCTGGGTGAGAGAGGGCTATGGTTTTGTTTTTGCAGATCAGTGCTTCCAACATGAGCAAAGTGGTGTGCTGGATGGTGAGGAGTCCTTGGGGAGTTGTGCTGGTCTGGTTTTACATCCCTATGACAAAGTACGACACAATCAACTTCACAGGGACATGGGGAAGACTCATTTAGGCTCAAGGACTATTTAGTCCACAAATGTTAGCTTTGCCAATTCTTGTCCCATGGGTGAAGTAGGTAGGATATCTTGATGGCAGGAGCATGTGGCAGAGGCTACTCTGCTTTTGGAGGGCAGGAAGAGTCCAGAAAGAAACGGAAGCCACATGGGACAAGATACAGGTTTCCTGGTGACTATTTCCTCCATGTAGGCCCTGCTTCCTAAGGTTCACAGAAACTCCCCAAAACATGCCACCATCTGGGGATGCTAATGGCCTTACCCTGAAACTCACTTTCCACATCTGTGCAGAGGACAGAATACAGCACATTTTTTTCAGTATGCTTGTGAAGGTCAAATTAAACAATGGACATAGAGATCTTCCCTTGGTATTTTACCAGCTACATGGTAGGTTCCAGAACCACCAGACCCTACAATTACCTCTTTTATAAATCTGCACTGCGTCTACTTTAAAAGTCTTTTAAAGTGATGAGACCACATGCACACATTACACAATCATGCAAAGTACAGAAAAGTATGAAGGAAGAGAATAGTCATCCAAAAAGAGTATCGCCATAACCTGGAGGCACCCTCTATGCACACTCTGGGCTGTTTTTAAAACACCTAGGGCTCCTGACCGCTCTTGAGATTGCATGTTTAAGTTCAGCCACTGAGTCTCCTGTGTTCAGAAATCATTTCAATGTGTGTGTGTTGAGTTGTGTGGGCATCTACCAGGATGGAGGGGGAGAAAACTATCATCCTCTATTGTTTTCACCTCTACCAGCCAGGGCGACCAAGAGCTTCCAAAGCATGGTGACAGTTCACTTTTAAATAGAAATGAACACAGCTACCCTTGCTCTGAGCCCAGAGTCAGGCCACCAAGTCCCTCAGCTTCCCCTCCCATGCTCCCCCACTGGCTGCCTTCCCTTATTTCTTATCGCTGGAAAGTTCTCTGACTGAAATTACCAACCCTGTTGCTTAGCAGATCATCTGCTCCAGCCTGTTCCCCTCCTGTCCCCAGGAACTGGGGGCCGTGTGTTCCTTTGGCCCATATGCTGATGAGAGTCTTCCCACTCAACCTGCCATCAGCCCAGGCACCAGTCAGAGCCACCTGCTCAGTGTCTGCTTGCCCCCTCCTGACTTCTAGAGGAAGCTGGAGGGGAGGAGAGAGAAGAAGGGATGATTCCTTAGACAAAGGGACTCCAGGGTTTTCCACAGACAGCTTCCCACGGGCCCTTATGTGGTTCTTACCCCGGCTTTTAATTGATCTCTGCTTGGAGGATGCTTTAGGGAGCAAAGAACAGGAGGGATGGAGCTAGGGAAGGCAGGACATAGCCCCAGGGAGAGTCAGAACTGGCACATTCCACCTAGCTCATTAGCCTTGGCTGAATAGGCAGGTGTTGCTGAAGGCTGGGCTGGGGATGAGGTCTCAGGGTGGGACCTCAATACGACCTGGCTTCTCTCTTGAGTTATGGGTCTTAGCCCCACACCCTCTTCTCTTGGATTCTGTATAAATCTTTACCTAGTTCAATCAATTTGCAATGGTTATTATTTTAATGTGCATGTGCGTGTGTGTGTGTGTGTGTGTGTGTGTGTGTGTGATGTCTTTCTTCACATATGTCTGAGTTATTTCCTAAATTGGGTGTGAGGAAGCCATGCTTCTGAAGAAGAGTCTGAAAATGTCTCCTATGGCCCATGCAAGACTACCTTTGCTGAAATTGAAAAAGTTAATCTCTGAAAACTCCAAAGAAGTGAAGAGCCTTTGAGGTAGGAAGGAACAAATATTCCATTTTCTGCTTGCTGAATTCAATGCTAGGGAGAGTGTCAGAGAGCTCCTCCAATTAGTTTTGGAGTAGAGGGAAGATATTGAAGTTCCAGAATAAACTTATGGATAAAGAACCTATATAAGCTAGCAAGGAAGAGTTCAGAGTGCTGGGGGCTTTGTCCAGCACATGGTGAATGTCACCAACCTTAATAGTCACCACACTTGGGCACTGGGTAGTGTGGAACAGGCATGAAGCAAACACAGCTTTAACAGTTCTAGGTGGTAACTGAAAAGGAACTTCGGGTATGGATTGGATTACCTTTGGGCCATCTTCCCTTGGCAGCTACCATGGCAACAAGAACTAAGCAGCAAGCAAGCATTGTGACAAGGACCTAATGGACAGTCGTTAACCCATTGTCAGAAGGCCAATGCTCAAGAGCATGTCTGATTGGCTAGCTGTGAACTACACAGCAGAAACACACACTCTGTGCATCTGTGTGTGTGTGTTTGTGTGTGTGTGTGTTTGTGTGTGTTTTATAGCTGCTCCTTCAGCTAGAGCAAGCCCACAGGGCTTTAGGGAAAAAAGGAACTCACGGGTGCATCACAGCCTTTTACTGATTTGACACTTGAGTTTAACAGGGTTTTGCTTACTTGAAGTGTTTGAAGGGTTCTGAGACCCTGAGACGCAAGACACGAGACAGGGGACTTGGCTTCTGAATGTTATGGACACAATCAAATGTGGACATAGTCACATTTCTGTGCAAAAGAATCAGGCACACTATTTTTCTAACCTGTCTTTACAACTCCAAAAATGATATGAACAGCACGCTCCCACTTCGTTTATAAGCCTTACAGCGTTTAAACCTTGATGTGCCTGAACACATTCTACTACATTGTTGGGCTACAGTCTAGTGAACAACCCCCCCCCACTGTTAGCCCCTGAGACTGGCGAGACCACTTTTGCAATTGAATGCCAGCCGCAATGCTACTAAATCACAGCAGTGAAAAGGGTAAACCTTTGGTAAGTCTAAATAAACAGTAACTTTCACAATGCAAGTGTACCAAAATGAAGAGGAAACCCAAATGCTGGATTCCTAGAAAGCACTGTGGAAGGTGGGAGCTGGGTGGGGAACCCAAGGATGGAAATCTTGTTTAACTTCTGAGGATGTAAAGTCTAATGGTAGCCACCAAGAACAGAGAGACTGAATGCATTCCTTTTGAAATAGCAGTAGGTACTGATGTTGAGTAGTCAAGATGAGGGCCAAGGGTGTGGGCTGTGTGTTTAGGAGGGGAGGCGGTCAGGCTGAAGTGATCTCAAAGGAGATTCTGGCTAAGGAGTATCTGCTTTTGGCAAACAGTACACTTGTGGCTCATAGCATGCAGCTCGCTTGAGAAACAGAAATATGAATTTGAGGACTTCGTTAACAAAATGAGGATGGGGGCAAATGCTGCAGAAAACTCAGTATCGAGATGGCTCATCATTTCTTCTACACAGGTGAAGCCAGGAGCTCTCTGAGCTCTACCTAGTCTCCTGTGAATAAATGGTCCTGCTGTGAGCCGGGTGCTAAGTTATAGGTGGTCTCAACAGGGATACTGCTTGCTCATCAGGAAAACTGCGGATGATTGACAGTAACAAACAAAAGGATGTTTATGTCCAGAGAATGAAGATCCTCACATTGTGTCAGCTGGTCTGGGACACAGTGGGGACCAGAGTCCAAATAGGACTCTTTCTAGACAGCCCCCAGTGAGAGGAGGCCTGGTGTTAGTGTGCTGGCTATGGTCGATGTTGGCTTTCTGACGTGTGTGTGTGTGTGTGTGTGTGTGTGTGTGTGTGTGTGTGTGTGTGTGTGTGGTGTTATGAGAGTGGGAGGGGCTAGTTTCTCTCCTTTTCCCCCTTCTCCATCCTCTGTCAACCCATTTACACCTTTGCAACCCAGATGGTAAAGACTGCTTCTGTCGGATGTGGGATTTAACACCTGGTTCCCAGGACTTGTGGCCTGAAAGGGGTGTGGTACATATGTGACAGGGACAGTTGGAGAGGCTCCAGAGCATCTGCCTGGGGACTCTGTGGACAAACGTCTGTAGATTTCCCCCCTGGAGTCTAAGGTGGGGCATCATACCATCTTGAGAGCTGAAAACCACTCACTCACTGGGGACAAAGCTGCTGGCAGAGGACTAGAGAAAGATATTTTCAAAACAGCAGTAACAAAAGTTTCAAGGACCACAGAGGCCTCTGGGCATCTCATTAGCGCCTGGAGGTAGGCAGAGAGCTGCTGGCTGGAACTGCCTAAGTCTAAGGGGCCTGAAAAAAAATGCAAAACCCAGGGAAAGTGGGGAGGGGCTGCTCGGAGCTTGGGAAAGGCCTCTCAGATGCTGTGGCCATTGCTCTGTTGCCTGTGTGCAAGTTTCCATCAGATTCCCTCACACTTAGAATCCCAGCACCCTGGAAACTGAGGGCGGGAAGACTGCTGTATGTTTAAGACCAGCTGGACCACATAGGGAGTTCTGGAACAGACAAAACTACAGAGTGAGACCTAGTCTCCATTCAGCAAAACCAACAAGCAATAATAAAAAGGTACTAGGTAATTAAATCCTTTCGGGTGGGACATTTTGGGGGATGGGGTGGGTCTGTTTCCCCAAATGGTCAAAACTTGCTCGTATATTTGAAACTCAACCATTGGGTATAATTTTCACGAAGGTGAGCCACCCTGTCTTCAGCCAACTCCTGACCTCACAGCACAGATGTATTCAGTTGGATTCAGGTGACTCTAAGTTCGCAGATTCCTCCCCACCTAGGCCCTGCCGATTGCCAAAAAAGCACATACCCTCTTCCTCACCAGAATCTCCTCTTTTTTTTCCCAAGTAGGAAACGAGGCAAGAAAATCAACAACAATTTCCTTCACTTCACCCCACGTTGTCCTTTTCCCTCCCTGCTTGGAGTTTCATGCTCTGGCCTTCTAAGGAAGCTCATCTTGGCCTATGAGGGGAGATATGCCAGACTGTAGTCATTCTCTGTCCTTTGATACAAGAGAAGCCAGGCCAGTAGGAGCAGGAGTCTTATCCAACTCCCAGGATCAGGGACTCTACTATTCTAAATCCTCCCAGATATTTTCTCCCATAACTCTCCTCTACACTAGGAACTTGTGCATGGCAATATTAGTCTCTCTAAGTCAAATAGACAATGTCCTTCGTAAAATGGGAAGTGAAGAATGTCTGTCACAGAGAAGAAGGCGTGACAGTTCACTGGGTGGAGCTGGAAAAGTTTTCTTCCTGAAATCCTCTTTCTCCAGCAAAGGCAACCCGAGAGTGTCGTGGAATATTATTTTAACCAGGCAAAGAAGCGATACACTTGTTTTGCTCTGGAATATTACTTTAACTGTGCAAAGGTGTGTTACTTTTGTTTATGCTGCATTTGCTTAACTATGTAAAGATGTGCTGATTTGTTTCACCTTGCCTGCCTAAGTCGCCCGATTGGTCTAGTAAAGAGCTGAATGACCAATAGCCAGGCAGGGGAGGGGTAGGCAAGGCTGGCAGGCAGAGAGACAGGCAGCTACCAGCCAGATCAAGAAACAGCAGGAAAGTAAGCCGTACGGAAAGAAAGGTAAAAAGCCCCGAGGCAAAAACATAGATGAAGAGAAACAGGTTAACTTAAGTTAAAGGGGGAAAAAAAAAGCTGGCCAGAAACAAACAAAAGCTAAGGCCAAGCATTCCTGAGTAATTAGAAGTCTCCATGCCATGATTTGGAAGCTGGTTGGTGGCCGAAAAGAAAAAGACTAGCAGAAGAGAGACTGCCGTGTGTGACTAGATTCCAAGATACCGTGTGCTTTGGATGAGGGGCAAGCTGGGGCCCCGCAATCTTGGTATAGGAAACAGTTGAGTCTTGTATAAGCTTTGGACATTGGGTCCCTGGAAATGACGATGACCCTTTGTGTAGTTATCAAGCTACAATGAACTTGGTGGCCATCCAGTCACCTAGCTGAAGGACTATATAGTTGACCATGCTTGTAAGTGGGGTTGTGAAAAGACTTGGATAGACATCTTGCCAAAGCCCAGGGCAGCTGCAAGGAGACACTGTAAACTCCCAATACCTGTGTAACGTGCCCAGAGGCAAGGGCATGGGCTTTTTGTACCAGGATGCATGGGGCATAGTCCCCAGCACTAGCATTCCAGAACTCTGCCTGTCTGGGGCTAGGATGAAAAGAAAAACTGACTGCCTGGAGCTGTAGCCTGCCCAGTTAGATGAGGTCTAAAGTCCTGGCTCCTCCTCCTCCTCATGCCCTTTGCCTGCGCTGCTGTTCAGGTGGGAACCAGCTCACCTGGAGAGATGTTGAAGCAACACTAGGAAAAACCAATCCAAACCAAATTCCAGGAGTCTCTAAGCCGAGCGTGATCTGAAGTGAGTGGCTGGGTTGGCTTATGGTTGAGGAACCAGACAGCTCAATTTGAAGTTGATGCCGGAATGACTGAGTTTGAGTTGTTTCGGGAGCAACCTGAGAAGGGAAACCCGCACTTCTTCTTTCTGGACTCCTTTGTCACCTGGCACTTTTTTTTATCATTGCTGGGCTCTCTGGAGGAGCCATGGAAACAGAAACAAGATGGACAGACACTGTTGCCCGTTCATATGCCCATGATTCATGGCAAGTGTGCGATGGGCCTTGGGAAGCTTTCAGGACGAGGTACTTCCTGTTTCCACCGTTACTTCATCCTCAACTTTCTTGGACCGCTCCAGCCTGAGCTCCCGTAACAAAACAAGTAAGGTAAGATGGAATTGAGATCATCTTTCTCTCTGACGTCTCTCATAAAATCATGAGAATTCATATGCCGGGACCGAAGACAAGGATTTGGGTCCTGGCTCTGAGTGACCACACAGTATCTCTAAGTTCTGTTTCCTTGTTCGCAAAATAGAAAAGTCAAAGGAGGGACCTCACTCAGGGTTATTGCGGGATAACTGCAGTAGCACGAGGCATGAATATCGTGTATGACACATTACAGCACACGCCACGAGCGAGCTGGATAGGATGCTGAGCACACTTGAATTCCCTCTAGTGTGCATGGGCAGCCTCAGCAACAAAGAAATGGAAGAGGAATCAACCAGCCTTGGTGCCATGGAAAGAACACCAGCCCCCATCCATGTCCCTTCCCTCTGCCCCCCACAAGCAAATGGCGAATACCCCATAGCAGCAGCTTTGGGACAGATGCCTTCGTGTGGAGGAGCCAGAGCTGGTAGCCAGGGACGGGGTCCCACGGGGCGGCACAAGTGAATTTTTCCTTCCCATCTGACAGTTCAGGACTGGATGTTTCTTTCCAAATGAAGGCAGTTCTGGAAGGTCGTTGGGAACAGTGAATTGTGATTACGCTGGCACATTTTTAATTCTGTCTCGTTACTGCTGCTGTTAAGGCTGCATTATAATAATTGCTTTAGTTCTGCTTTGGTATTTTTGGGCTCCTTTAATGTAGCTGTAATCTATGTGTATATTAAAGTAAGCAGAGCCAAAGAGCAGGGGCAGCCTTGTTAGACCAGGGAAATGAATGTTAAGGGGCCGGAAGGGGAGCAGGCAGGCTGGAGAACCTCAGGACGGCAGGGGGAGTGGACGCTCTGGCCCCAGGCCTGACACGCATTCATGTGGTGACTTTGAGCCAGTCTCCAACCCGTTAGATAAGTTGCAAAGCGTGTCTTGTCAAGGTCTGAGGGGAAAGCCCAAAGCTGGCAAGGAGCCCAGAAGATGTCCAAATTCGGTCCTCTGGAGTAGCCAGAGCAGAACCCTAGGTAGAGCCTGCCTCTTCCTTTCCAGCAGCCTCCAGAAGGATGGCCACATGACCTCTAGGCCAAGGACCGAAGTCACAAGAGTAGCATGCCAACAATCCCATTTCTAGGGGCAATTTTAGCTCTGATCATCTTCACTCACGGATGTATTTTTGTTTTGTTTTTGTTTTTGTTTTGTGTTGTTTTTTAACATCTGATGTAGGTGACTGGTTGCCACTCTGAAGGAACAGCCTTGACCGGGGCATTTCAACCACTTGAGGGAGGCCTCTTAGGAGTCCTTGATCAATGTGGCTTCTCCTTTTTATCCCCTTCTTGTGGTTGGTTGTAAAATGTCTCCCACAGGACCATGCGTTTGGAAACTTGGGCCCCAGCCGGCTGCTTTGTAGGCGGAGCCTGTGTGGAGAAAGGAGGTTTGTTGTATGTTGAAGCTTAGCTGGGCTTCCTATCTCATGATGCTGGGAAGTCCTAGCTCCACCCTCCCTCCACGATGGCCCTGTGTCTGCTGCCACATCTTCTCGGCGGTGACGGACTGAATCCTACCCTAAACCTTGAGCCAAGATAAACTCTTCCTCCTTTTGGGTTGATGTTTGTCAGGTGTCGGGTCACAGTTACAAGAAAGGTAACATATCGGGGCTGGAGTGGTGGCTCAGCGGTTAACAGTGACTGTTCTTCCAGAGGACCTGATTCAATTCCCGGCAACCACATGGTGGCTCACAACCACCTAGAATGAGATCTGGTGCCCTCTGCTGGCATGCAGGCAGAAGGCTGTATACACAATAAATAAATAAAATATTAAAAAAAAAGAAAGGTAACATACACATACCCTCAAGAGGGCAGTGAGTATGAGCTTGGAGTGCAGTGTCAAGTGTCATTTGAGACTGTGCCCCTCACATATCAGTATGTTCTATGGTCCTTTCCAAGCATATGATTGACATTGGAGTTTCTTCCTATAGTCCTTACCATAGTCCTATGAGCAAAGGATTGGAGTCATCAGTTTAGATGGGCCAATGGAGCTAGGGTCATGCTCAAATAGTGAGTGCTACAAGTTTGCCTACATCATAGAGAACAGCAGGCACAGGACTGAGACCCTGGTTCTCAGCACTGCCTCCTGCTTCCAGCACTCTTAAGTGTCGCCACCATCTTCCATGCCACTCAGAGCTTAGGCCTGGCATTCAAACCTGTCAGAGGGAGAAGAATGAGAAGTTGACCTGGGATTTGGTGTACCAGGACTGTGTAGCACAGGAAGGGGACCATGCAGGGGTGTGGCTAAGCGCACTCTTAAAGCAGTTGAACAAGTCTACAGACCTGGGCCATCTGTTGTTCAAGGAGCCTGAAGAGTACCCACCTCTCACAGCCTCTCTGATGCCTCATAGCTTTGTATCTGATACTCAGAGAAAGCAGTGTCACTAACTGCCTCTCATGGCAACAGATAGCCTGTTTAATCCCTCAGTCATCATCATTCAAAATGCCTTCTTTATTATGGATCAAAGTCTCCCTAATTATCCTGCTTTGAACACTGGGAATTAATCCACCCTGTTTTAGCTACTTTTCTATTGCTGTGACAAGATGCCATGACCAAGGCAATTTATAGAAGGATTTTGTTTGGGGCTTACAGTTTCAGAGGGTAAGTCCATGATGAGGCAACAGGCAGGCAGGCAGGCAGGCAGGCATGGAGCTGGAGCAGCAGCTGAGAGCCGGCATCTTGATCCACAAGTTGAAGGCAGAGAGAACTACGCAGGAATTGTGTGGGCTTTTGAAACCTTAAAGCCCACCCCAGATGACCCCCCCACCAAGGTCACACCTCCTAATCTTTCCCTAACAGTCCCAACCCAATGAGGGGAAGGGGTATTCTCATTCAAACCACTGCCACCCCTCCCCCTTTCTGTGGAGGCAGCTGGAAGTCCTCCTGAGCCTCCCTCAGATGCAAGACCCTCGGGTTCTTTTTCTGTTACTTATGTTCAGATGTCACCCAAAGAAGAAAAAAAAAAAACATCAAACTGTCTCCAGTCTAAATAGACGCCTATAAATAGCGTTTTCTTCTTTCTATACCATGTTGTAGTCAAAATTAAGGGGTGACTACCAGTACCACACACTGTGCTGAGAGTTGGGGAACATTAATGAGAATTGACTTGCTCTTTGCCTTGGTGAATGGACGGTAGCATCCACAGTCACTAAGTAAGCAAGGATGGACACATACTCCTCCTCACTCTTTTTCTTAAATGAGTGTGCTAAATGCTTTTACATTTAGTAACAAACACTGTCCCCCTTTGACTGTTAGAACCATGGAACTCATTGCCCAGGGGTCGAGCTTCCAGCACTAGTCCATTCCCCCGTCATGTAGGCTGTCCATTCTCACTATGTGTTTCCCCTCTCTCCTTGATGTTTCTCCATTGCCCATGGACCCCACTGTTTAGTCCCCTCATCCTTTCTCCCAAGAGCCGGGCAGTCCCCCTGAACACCACCCTTAATTAGTTAATAAAATTCCCTCCATGACACAGGCTGCTCTCCCCCAGAAAAGCCAGTGACAGATATGAGCACCATTTGGTCTAATTAGTCCTGATATTTCACACAACATATTTGTGAGGGCTTTTTTGGAGGGGGGCAGGCAGAGAAAATACTTCTATTAAAAGAACAGCAGGGAAGCTTGGATGCTGGGAAAGGAAGAGTTAGGGGTCTTTTGTCAGTGTAGAAGGCCTTTGTGAGGGCCAAACCACCTGTCCGGGAACACCTGCCTCTGTTTCTCCTTGCACCTCTGTCCACATTAACTGGCCTCCAGGGGGCTGAGATTCACTCCTTTCCTTATTCCAATGACATGAAGTTCCTGATTGAGGGATCTTTTTGTGTTCTAGTGGCAGAAATCTATGCAGGATGACGAGGTAACATCAGAGGGGGCTTAGCTATGAAGTCCTGGAGAGCTAGGGCACAGTGTTGTACAGTTGGGTCCTTGTTGTGTCTTCCGCTTTGACCTTGGGATGATTATTGAATTCTTCAAGGCCACTTGGCAGTCTAAGGGCTATGTCAGGACAGAGAAAGGGAGATGGGGTATGAACGTACCTTGAGCTGCTAGGATAGATGTCTCTCAAGATACAGGATATTGGCTATTACAGTGTGTAAATTAGGAGTTGCTCTTGACATAGAAAATCAATCGTCTATTCCTCTGTCACAGTTTCTGACATCTGTTTATAACCTACGAGTTTGAAGAGCTAGGCTTATCACTCCACCATGCTGAGCTGACTGTGCTCTTCTGTCATCTTCCAACATGACTCCAATCCCATGAGCCACCTTGTAAGTCCACAATTAAGGATGAACATTAGCTTTGTTTTTCTTTTAAAAATACTCCTGGGTTTTTCATGGTGTCTATGTTTTTTTATCCTGAGTAGATGGTCCATAAATCTTAGTAGAACCAGAAATACAGCAGAAAATCAAGCTTCATGAGAGTTTCTGGAAGGAGACATGGGATAAGACTCAGAACTCTTGGGCTCCTGATAAATCCATCCCTGTGTGTCTTTTGACTGTGGGCAATGACATCCCCTCTCCAGACCCACATCTCTAACATGGGGGATCTGAATGAACTCTGAGCTTCACTGTAGTTCTAACGTCCAAGCACAGGGGAGGGGGAAGCATTATATTAGTAAACTTACCATTGTGAGGAATGGATATAATATGAAAATTCAGGATCCCTCGGGTTTCCACAAACTTTCATCCCTAAGTCTACTGCTTAGCCCTTCCATGCTTCCCCTAGCTGCTAAAAACCACCACTGTGGTCATTTGGGTACCTGAATAACCTGTCCTGGTCTATGTTCATCTTGTTCTTGACCCTTTGCAGGTGAGCTCTCCCTGAAGTGACTGTCCGTTATAACCATTCCTAGACAGGGTGTGGCTGTCCCTTAGAAGTAGGAGGCCCATAAGTAAAATCTCCTACTTGTAGGTGGTGTTTCAGAGTGTGGGCTGGGAACTTATCCTACATGTGGATCCTGGCTCTATATCATCATCAGACACCATCCTGGTATTCCTCCGTGTCAGTTCCCTTATCTTGAATGTTATGGTAGGATTAAGAGGGAAAATGCCATGTAACCCTTAGCACCATGCCCGATTCAGTAAACACTCCACAGATGGTAGATACTGTCATTTTGATGATGCCTGGGATAAATCCCTATGACCTCTTCCTTCCAATCAGAAGTGTTCTCTGCCCACCTACCTCAACGTTATTGGTGTTCCTTTTTATGAGGGACTAGAAAAAAAGTCATTTAATTATATCCTTGCCTCTATGAATTATGAATTCTTTCATTTTAAGAAGTCAAATAGAGATTTTTAAAATTAGCTTCATTGCTGGCAAAGCTCAATTAGGGGAAGAAGATTAAACTCAAAGATCTTCTTTTCAAATACTTTCCTCTAGTTTCAGACCTGGGGTCATTCTAGAGGAGAGCTGAGTAGGCCAAGGCACAGAGCCTGCAGAGGGAAGCCAGCAGTGTGACCTCTTAACAGTGCTGGGTCATGAAAAGCAGCTCCCTGGACTGGGAGCCACCACACCTAATCCTTGGACATACCACTCTGCCAGTGGTAGGGGGTGCTGGAGGGTCAGGCAGGAAAGCGACAGACTATTTCCTTCCAGTACTCCAGCAAAGATGGAGCTACAGTGAGGGAGGAAGGCAGTAAGGGTTCCTACTACAACTTCGGCTAAAAATGCTTACTTGGGGGGGGGGATGGCAGCTACTCCAGTGGTACGAGGTCACCAGGAGTCTTCCAGATGCTTCCACAAGTTATTTTCAAAAATCCTGGATGCTTCCCATAAAATATTCTAGTGTGTGAGTGTGTGTGTGTGTGTGTCTGTCTGTCTGTCTGTCTGTGCATGAACATTATTATAAAAGATTAAGACACAAAAGCAGCATGTGATGGTAAAGACTACCACTGGGAGATATAGCTTGACCAGGATGCATGAGGTCCTAGTTTCAATCTCTGATCTTAGGAAAAGAAAAAAGAATTCTGTTAGCCACAGAGTTGAGGATGCATTCGGCAATAGGGAGTCCTACAGTGGAATCAGTATCTCCACATTTCCTACCATGTCCATGAACAGTTTTGTGTTCGTAGGACTTTTGGATACAGTTTCTGTAAGTTTGATTTACAGATTAAGGGATGAACTTACTATTTTCCACACTCTAAGCTGCATGCTCTAAGAAGAATTTGTTTTCCAGTGCCCCTGGTGGTATGCTCTGGACATCAGGCCCTCCGTGTTCATAGCAGGTCCTGGAGGTCCTGTTGCCTTCCCTGTTTCCTTCTTGTAGTGCCAAGAACTCCCACCTCTGGTTGGCTTTCTGCATGTTCATGAGATCTGTGCATTTCTGAAGCCATGTGAGCCCCAGAAGGCAGGCGTGCAACTGCCACAGGACAAGGTAGCCAGCTATAAGGGACCCTGGCAGGAGGGGTGACTGACACTCAGGGTTTCAATCAACAACTCTCCCTTCCTGTTCCATACAAAAGCTGCCCAGAGTTCAGCCTGAGGAGCAGATGAAGAGCTCTCAGCCCATCTCAGAGGTGGAGGAGCTGACATCTCCTGCTGCCTGTTGGGATAGATGTAGTCCCCTGGAGACGTCTTTACTGAAGGCCTACTCTGTGCTCTTGCCTCTGTTTTCCTGTCACCAGACCATCTCCTTGTCCCCTTTCTCCCTCCTGAACTAACCCAGCAGGAGTTGGGCCTTTCTCTGAGCCCGGGTTCCTTGGTCCCTTGTCTAGTTTTCTTTCTTGGATCAGATTCTGCTTCTAGAATTCCTACATATCTACCCACTAAGTAGTTGAATGTCTACCTGATGTAGATGGCATCAGTTCCAGAAACCTCACCTTCGTGGTGGTGCTTGCCTAACTTGAGCATCCTCTGGCTCACGGACACCAGACTTTGACCTAGCCCCACTCTCCCACCCCTGACCTTGCCCTTTGACCTCTAGACATGTGACTGCACGAATCCCTACACTGGACAGATTACCTGTCCCACCCTGATCCTTTCTGCATTGCCCTGCTTCCAGCAGGAGCTCCTTGGATCCTGAGCAATCGAGGTCATGTCATTGGTGACATGTCACCTGTCACTGGTTTTTCTCATGAGGCATTTAACTGTCACTCAAATGTCAGGCATTTCTATTAGTTTGCCATCTTATTTGGAAATTTATTTATTGTTACTAATACTTTGTCAGAAAAACATTGATATATCCCTTTAAATAAAGGATTTTAACAGGCATTCTCTAGGGAGTTTGTTGCACTAGGGAGGAGAGGCCAACATTTCCCCCTGAAGGAACACAACCCTAATTTTATCTTGAAATCGAATAAGAAAAGAAGATGCATGCCCTAAGAATTGATTTCATAGGCAGCGTCCCTGGGTGGCAGATACATAGAGATGCTTTCAGATAGATGGGAGAACCACAAGACATGAAGACTGCCTGTCCCCGTGTGTGTGGTTGGTGACCCCTCAGCGCCACCTGGGTACACCTACAGAGAAATGCCTGCTTGGAGAACATTTCTGCCTTCTGTTTGACAGTTTGGAACTGTTCATTTCACTGTAGCATTGATCAGGCCCTGCTGTAAATTTACAAGCCTGAATCTATTTACTCTGCAGGCATCCTTATATGATAGACACTTTTACTCTGCACTCTACAGAAGTGAAAACAAGGGTATGGAGCCTGCTGAAGGTCATCACACATGTAGGAAACTGCAAAACGGACATAACTAGCCAGCACCTGGTGGCAGAAACTATGTCCTCTTCCCTAGGTTGTCTCCTAGGCATGACCATCATTTGGACCGTCATTTTGATGGGCTATGGACCATCCACCCTTGGACTCGGGCCCTTGTTTCTCTCTGTCTCTCTCTGTCTGTCTGTCTCTGTCTCTCTGTCTCTCTGTCTCTCTGTCTCTCTCTCTGTCTCTCTCTCTCTCTGCCTCTCTGTCTCTCTGTCTCTCTCTCTCTCTCTCTCTCTCTCTCTCTCTCTCTCTCTCTCTCTCTCTCTCTCCATGGGACATGGCACAGGGACTCGATACATAGCATCTTTGCTGCCCAATAGGGAGCATGATTCATCTCTGGCATCTGCTTTCTTCACCTGGAAGACTGGATTCTGTGCATAATGCAGTCTAGTCTGTCCTCAGGTGAACTTATAACAGAATACCCATCGTGCCCATCCACTTGGCAGCCACACAACATTTCCAGTCTGGTCAAAGACCTCCATCGACAGTTCTATTCATCTTGTCCTTGATGGACCTCGTGGCTGCTTGTGGTTATTGGATCCAGAAAGCCATTTTGCCAACCTGTCCAGCCCCTTTAACATCTAATGATGTTCCTGCCCCTTTGCCTTTAGGTGATAAGAATTGCTTCCCTATACTAGTCCCCGCAGTCTCCCATTTGGTGGTACCAAGGGACCATGAAGAATGAAAAGGGGGAAAATGAACCAGTGAAGCTGGGAGCGATGACTGGAATGTGCTTTCTAGTAAGTACCCAGAGCCCCTTTCCAGCTGTTTCTGGTGAACATGTGATAGGCTAATATCTAGTGGCTGGTTTCAGACTGAAGAGTCTTTGTGAGTCTCCCTGCCACCTACCGTGTTAGTTAGCTTCTTAAATAAGAAAGCATCTAATGGGCACATGACTGCCAGTGATGTGGTGGCTCCCTTGGCCTTTCAAAAGCAACAGCAGGTACAGAGGGGGAGATCTGGAATCAGGGAAACAGATTTCTACTGCTGGGATCAGGGTTCTTGTCCCATGTAATGAGGGCCTCTGACCCGACTTCAGGACTTGGTTCTCAGGCCTCTGAAACTGAAGGCTAATGGGGGCAGGGAGTCAACAGTACAACATGGAGGCCGGGAAAGACCCCCACCCATACACTCACACAGTGTGGGGCTGATCAGTGAGGTAGGGCCAGACACCACTGAAGCCTTCCCTCTGCTCAGAGGCAAGGGAAAGAGGTGGGCGGACAATTAAAGTTCAAACTGGCATTTCAGGGGGGTGGCCCTGGCATTCGTTAGTCAGGCTCTGATTACCAGCATCCACGCAAATGACATTTGCACCCTTCCCTCCCCCTGGCTCCTGCTACTACCTGTCACCATGTCACCATGTCTCTTGGAGAGACAGGCTGGTGGGGGCCCCAAGGGCGGGACAGAAAGGACCTGGCTAGTGAGGAACAATTGTCACCTGTGGGTCCCAGCACAGAAGTCCTTCAATGAAAGTCAGAGGTTAAGGTGGGGGTAACAGATCGATTGATTCCCAGAAAAAGAAAAGAACTGAGATGGGGAACTCCCGGAGTTTCTTTTTCCCTAAGAAGACAACACGGTTGACAGGGATTCACCCCACCCTTTGATGGGAAACTGGGACACATGTGGGGGGTAGGTCCTCCTGGACCAGTTATCTGTCCCTTCTATTTCTCCTCTCCACCCCCACTCCGGCTTCCCTTCCCTGACCTAGCCTCTGTCAGGCTCTCTGCCCATGATGGATTTTTCAGGCTTCATTTAGTGACATAACCATCCCAGCGAAACATACAAATGGTGCAACCATGGATCGTAATATGCAGTAAACGGTTTTTTACCTCCTATCATTTTTTTATAGGAAGAAATTGGCTTTGTGCTCCCCCTATGCCCCTCCCATTTGCAGGTGGGCTATTGCAGGGGGAGGGGTCCCCTCCACTCCTTCATCTATGAGGCTGTCAGCTCTGCTCCAAACACCACTCACTCACTGGGAGTGGAGGGGGCAGCTCAGCTTTGATTAACTGTCGTATGTGATATTAATATCTAACAGGAGGCTTTCGTGGCTGGCTCTGCAGAAGGACAGCCATGGGGAAAAACACAGGCACCCCTATGAGATTTAGTTCTTTATTTACTTGTATTTTTGTTTCTAGAAGATTCTGGGTGGGTCTCTCCCCCTCCTTCCTTCCTTCCCTCTCTCCCTCCCTCCCTCCCTCCCTCCCTCCCTCCCTCCCTCCCTACCTCTCTGCATCCTGCATCTCTTGCAGGATACCCTTGGCTCTTTATTTGGTTTTTCCTGGCTTCTCCCATCTATGCAGAGGAGGCTCAAGGTTCTATGGCTTTGCTATGCTACAAGATTGGAGTAGAATCTCTGACCAAGCCAGGTCAGGAGACAACACATCTGCTTACCTCTCGGAAAGGAGGATCTGATGATGCCAAACTCAGTATCTTTTACTCTAAGTCAGGGTCCCTGCCAGGTCATTCAATTCATCCCTCTGGGCTGTCCCTTGTTTCCTTTCTGCCCTACACACTGGCTCCAGTGGCTTCATTTCTCTTCCTTCATGCAGACCTAGAGGTCTCAAGCCTGCAGTCCATGCCATCTGCTCTTTTCTAAAAGTGGAAACACATTCAATGAGCAGCCATTGTGGGGAGGGAGAAAGATTTGCTGAAGGAGTTGGGTGATAACTTTATAGCCCTTCCATAGTTCTGGACCCATCAGATAGCAAATCCCTACCCTCTGTGCCTCTTTCTGTCAGCTGCCTCTTGCATGCCAGCGAAGGTGGAGAGCAGCAGAGTGTTACATTGCAGCAGCTTCCTGCTGCCTGCTACTACTAACCCTGTCTCCATGGCTGAGGAGCAGTTGCTTTTCAATGCTGTCTTGCCAGCAGAGCTGGAGAGAGAGAGACACAGAGTTGGAGAAAGAATGAGAGACAGACAGAGACACAGAGGTAGACAGAGAGAGAGTTGGAGACAGAAAGACAGACACAGAGATAGACAGGGAGAATTGGAGAGAGACAGAGTTATAGAAACACCAAGAGAGACAGAGACACAGACATAGACAAAGACAGAGAGAGTGGGAGAGAGACAGAAATTCAGAGACAGGAAGACAGAGACAGAGCAGAGTGAATGTTCTAGTTCATGGGTTGAACTCTGCCACAGAGGTCTGGATCTCCATGATGGGACTGACTGTCCACTTTACTCTTTGCCCAGAAGAGAGATAAACATCACTTCATGCTTTATAAAGAGAGATGCTTACCAGTGTGTGGACCCTAGCATGCACTCATGCACACATGTATTCAATGTGTTTGGCACATAGGCCCAGAATGAGGCCTGGTACTTATGAGATACTCTGATGTCAGGATGCTGTTAGGAGAAGATAGATAGTGCCTGAACAAAGGGGACATTCTCTAAGAATGGTAAGAAGTTCTTCAGAAAGGTCATGGATGGATTGATGATAATTGATCTCCAAAGACGCTTAATATGCACATGGTATCAGACTATGCCTCCATTTGTGGTGAGCCTTAGAAAAGAATAAATACAAGGAGAAGAAAGATCAACAGGGGCTTCCAGCCAGCTTGGACCCAGGACACAGTCAGCTTGGAGGGGAGCTAGTCATTGAAAGGACTGTCCATGATAGTTATGTAGTTTGGCCCACATGGAATATGGTGTCTGTCTACCAACAATGAAGGCCTTTCATGGAGAGAAGCAATCAGTCAGCTCTATGTTGTGCCAGAGGACAAAGGTAGGACAGTCATATCACAGGATTAGAAGTATATTTTCTTGCTTGTTTTCCTTTTGCAGTGTTGGAACCACTGCTGGGCAAAGTGCTTTAGCATTGAGCCACAGATACAACCTTTGGGCACAGATTTTTTAAATCCACTTTTTAAATAGTGGTGTGTGTGTATGTGTGTGTGTGTGTGTGTGTGTGTGCATGCATGTGTTTGTGCCTGTGTGTGCATGTATGCAGGTGCTTGTAAGGTCTAGAGGCATCAGACCTCCCTGGAGTTAGAGTTATAGGCAGCTGTGAGCAAGCCCATTTGAGTGGTGGGTACTGAACTGTGTTCCCCTGCAGAATCATTTCTCCAGACAGCTTCCCTCCCACCTCTAGGGAGATCTCTCTCCCACATTTTGTCCCTCCTCATAGTTTTTCCTTGCTTCTTCTTGCCAAAAAGATTAGGCAGTGATTTAGGTCAGATGTCAATAACTGTAGTAGTCCATTTTTCATTATTGTAATGAAATAGTTGAGGCAACATTTTTATGAAAAAGAGGTTCAATGAATTCACAGCTTGGAAGGTTGAAAGTCCAAACAGTCGAGTGGTAACCCCCATAGGACCCAGCTTTGCTGCTGGTGGGTAGCATAACAGTTAATGGCACCACACGGACAAGAGTATGTGTGTGTGTTGTGTGTGTGTGTGTGTGTGTGTGTGTGTGAGAGAGAGAGAGAGAGAGAGACAGACAGACAGACAGACAGACAGACAGACAGAGGTCATTTGAAAGTTAGAAAGCCAGAGTGAGGGGAAGTGGCTAGTCTCGTAACCTCCTCCTGCACCTTGCCTGCTAAACTTTCTACTAGAACTCAACAGTACCACACTGGGGATCAAACTCTTAAACATCAACCCCAGAGAACACACTCACGGCATATGCAGACCCTATCATCAGAGTTGAAAGTTTCTTGCTTTGTGGAAAAAACTGAGCAAGATCACACAAAAGGATTTTTCCATTTGGGGCTTTGAGCTGTAACCAATTTTCCTCCAATAAGGAAATTTGAACTCAGGGCCACAGAAATAAGAGGCACTCAGCTGACTTCTAGAACTTGATGTCCCTCAGCTTTTACAGCCTTGAGGCGCTGTGACCGCTTGCCACCCACCTCACCCCCAGAAAACAAAGCCATTGCATGTCCTCCCTGCAGGACCAGACTAAATTGCTCCCAGCCCTCAGGGTGATGGTGTGTTGGAGGTTTGGGTTCTAAACACAGAAAAAAGCAGAATGGAGGAGATGGTGGTCCTTGGATGAGCTTCTGGGGCTCAGAAGAGTGAAGACAAGTTCTTCCTATCACCCTGTCCCATGCCACATCCTGGATTTCCCTGCCATTCTGTGACTTGGCTTTGCTGGCTGCCACTCAGAGAGGGCAGGACTAAGAAGCAAGCAAAGTACAAAGGAGTTGTGCCAGGGCAACTAAATGCCAGGTTTAGGAGACAAAGTCATGGTAGTGACAACAAATCTATGGCGAAGCCTCCAGCAGATTTTAAACACCTTGATTAATCATAACTTGCTGCACATTATTTCCCTATAAACAAACTACAATGTTACTCATATAAACAGCTTTATCTTGACAGCTGCAAAATGTCAGGATTTAGTGAAGAAGGAGCAGAGACACACCATATGTTCCCACTCCAGGCCTGGAACACACCAACTTACAGCATACTGCCTCACCCGGAAGACATGATTACAAAAGAGGCCTGGGCTTCTGCCTTGCCATGGCTGGCCCACTGCTTTCTAGTCCCCACCCCCTGATTTCCTGAACTATCATGGCTCCAAAACAACTCGGAGGAAGGCTCTGCTCTGAGGGTGGGGAGCAGCAAGCCAGGTGGCAGCTTGGCAAGCGTGGCTGCAGTTGGGTTGTCGTATTTTTTTTCTTTTTAAATAACTGACTCCAATAAATACAGGTGTACCACATGGGGAAACCCATGGTGACAGTGTAATTAAGAGAAACAAGGCAAGGATTGCTGGTTTCCTGCTAAGGAGGATGGCTTCTACCTTTGCCAAGGCTTAGGAAAGACGTGAAATGGAGGCCCCCACGGAAATGAGCAGCTAAGAGAACTTAATGCCATGAAAGAGGGAGTCTGTTCCTTGAGCTGGGCCTATGTCAGTCAGGCTTCTCATTGCCGTGACAAAATACCTGAGAGGGATTTCTAAAAAGGAGCAAAGATTTATCTTGACTCATACTTTCAAAGCTTTCAGCCTCTGGTCAGCTGACTCCATTGTTTCTTGGCTGTGGTGAAGCAGATCATGCCAGAAGACACTCATAGAGTCCGGTCACCCAGTTCATGGTGGCCAGGCAGTAGAGAGTGAGATAGGAAAGGGACAGCCAAGCTGTCTAGTGACAAACTTCCTCCAACTAGACCATATCTCCCATGTCCCATCAGATTATGAAACCATCAAAGGATTGCTATTGATTAGGTCATAGCCCCCAGGATCCAGTAACCCCACCCACAAAGCACAAACCCAACACAAACCCAACAACAGTCCAGCCCACATGCACAGGTGCACTTAGAGGAGTTGAGATGTGTTTTAGTGGACAGGACTGTTTCTTACTCAAGTGTCTTTACTTTCAGTATCTACCCTTCTGTATAGCATATCCATGTCAGAAGGCCTGTAAACCAGGAGTCAATCCAACCCCTTGACTGTTTAATTAATAAAGTTGTGTTGGAATCCTGCGTTATCCATTCACTTATGTGTTATCTGTGTCTTGTGATAGGACCGTATAACTGAGGAGTTATCTCAATATGAGAATTAACTTTGATTGTCAACTTGGTTACATTAAGAAATACTCAGGACACTGGCAAAGCTCATGTCTGGGTGTGTCTGGGAGGGTATTTCCAGAGATGACTAGATCATGTGTGTTCTGACCTCATAAATAGATGAATCCACTCATGGAATCTTACTATGAAGCATTTATTCTGAAGTGGTGAAGTAGAACTAGGGGTTCAGCTGAAGAAAGCTGGTCACTGGAGCCATGTCTGTAGGAATCTCTTGTCCTGGCCCTCACTTATGATCCCTTGCTCTGATTTCTTCTCACTGTGATGTGAATTGCTTTGTTCTGCCATGCCCCTCTCTGCCATATCAGACCAGTATCTGTGAAACTGTGAACAAAAATCAGCCCCCCCCACAAGTAAGTTGTTTCTCTCTGCTAATGCAGAAAATTGGTATTGAGGAGTTGGAGTCATAGCTACTTGACCAAGAGGTTTTTAAGTCTTCTGAGTTGGTACCTAAAAGGAATTTGGAAAAGTCTGGAGAAACTTGGTAGAAGAATCATGGAATGCTGTAACTAGAGCTCAGTGGACAGTTCTGGAGGAAGCTCAGAAGGTAAGGTTGCTCTCAGAAATGTGGACAGTGAATACCAAGCTCACGAAGTTTCACATGGGACCAAATACTTCCACTGAGAGTTGGGCTAGGGGCCATGCAAGTTACATTGTGCTAATAATCTGTCTATACTCTGTCTATGTCCTGAGACTGAGGGTAGTATTAATGGATTAATTTATCTGTTGATGGAAATTTTAAGAAAGTCTAGATGTTTTTGGCAAGATTAATAATCAGAATCCTATACAAAAGGCAGAACAGAAACACTAGAAAGATATATTATTTGGACAGAAAAGGAGTGTATTTAAAGTTGTGGACAAGGAGAAAACATTATTGTCAAAGAAATTAATGCCACTAAAAAGAAGCCAAGCACTTTTCCCTTGGATGGTAGAAAAGATGCCTTGAGGGCACGTCTTAGGGCCTGGTCTTCTCTCCCATCTCTCCTTTCTATTTCTGGTTTAGTACCACTTCTGTTGTTGCTATAAAACAACCCCAACAAAAGCAATTTACAACAACAAAAGGCTAATTTAGCTCACAGTTCTACGTTATGGTCTATAATTGTGGGGAAGCCACAGTGACAGGAGCCTGAAACATCTATTCACATGGCGTCCATAGCAAAACTCAGAAAGGAATGATTCAGTTTGTGTATGCTTGTGCTTAGCTTGCTTTTCCCGATCTTCTGTACTTCATGGTCTCCTACACAGGAAATGGTGCCACCCACAGTGGGCAAGTCTTCTTACCTCAGTTAATGTAATCAAGATAGCCAACCTCGAGACAATACACCCAGGACAACTTGATATAGACAGTTGCTCCAGGGTGATTCAGAGTTTGTCAAACTGATAAATAAAACCAGCCATCACAATGGCCCCATTCCCCTCTTTTGGAATAATAATACTTGTCTTGTAACATTGTAACATTGCGCATTTGAAGTATATAGCTTGTTTTTTATTTTCAGCTAAGAATTTTGAGTCTCAGAGGGGACTTTAAACTTGGACTTTTGAACAATGCTGAAACTAAGACTATGAGGACTCTAGATGTCAAATGGAATTAAATTTTCATTATAGGGTACACATGAACCTTTTGATGGCCAGGTGGTGAATTTATTATTTAAGGAGATCAATTTGCTCATCAACTCATTTATATTAAATACCTACAATACTAGTAAAGCACATCACGGGTATGTCTGTGAAGGCTTGATAGTCAATCTTCATTGTAAACGTGACTGGATTTAGGATCACCATAGAAACACATCTTTGGATATGTCTATAAGACTGTTTCTAGAAAAATTTAACTGAAAAGGGAAGACCCATCCTGCATGTGGACGTCACTATTTCAGACTAGGCAATAGTAAAGGAAGAAAACGAGTTGAGCATGAACACTCTGCTTCTTGACTGTGGATGCAGTGTGGCCTGTAGCCTCATATTCTTACCACCATGCTTTGTAGACTATATTCTCTCAAACTATAAGCTAAAATGAGTACTTCCTCCCCTATGTTGTTTCCTGACAGATATTGGTCACAGTGACAGGAAAGTAACTTAGAAGGTCTCTCAGGACATGACTAGATCATAAGACTTCTGACCTAATAAATAGATTAGTCCCTTGATGGGGATTATATGGGGCCTAGTTGGAGAAAGTAGGTCACTGGAAACACATCCTTAGGGCTATATTTTACCTTAGCCTCTTCTGTATTTCGAATCCCTGCCTTCTAGCCATCATAATGTAAACTGTTTTCTGTCATGTCCCTGTAGATACACAGATTAAGATACATGGGACTTGGATCAATATAGGTTAAGTTTTATTCAGGGATAAGTCACTTACTTGAGAAACTAGTGACTCACAAGTTCCAACTCCAAGGATCCACACCCAGCTGCTCTCCGTGACCTGACTGGAACCAAGAGACAGTAAGCCTGTCCCGGACTCCAGACCAAATCCCACACGCTTACATGCGTACCACAGGTGTGGCTGGTTAGATCTCTCACTTCATGCCCCTTCATGCTAAAATAACTGATACCTCCAAAACTGTAAGCCCAGATAAGTCATACTCCTTGACTTGCTTCTCTCAGGGGTATTTGGTCACGTGATCATAAACAAAGTAATGTTCTCACAGACCACAGACTGCACACTGAAATATGTAGTATCTGACCCTAGACTAAACAAGTGAACTGATCTCTACTCTGGGTCACTCCTGACTTAGACACTTGAGACATGTAGGATTATTGGTAGCTAATAAGTTAATCTCTTGTTTGGGCTCTTGAATCCTTATTCACATTTAGGGAGACACTGACCACACCTTATTGTGTGGTTGGTGAGACTATCAACCCATAGAGGAGTATGTGGGCATGTGAGCCTCCTGTTGACCTTCTGAGTGTTTCCTTTGACTAAGGTGTTTGTGTTACTCCTGACTAGACAACCCTAAGCAATGTCAGTAGATTCACCCTGCCCCTGCTGCCCTAGAGTCAGGTGTACACTCAGAGCCTCTTTACAAATATATCCCAGCTTGGTCCATTCTCACCCGCAGAGCCTCACCATTCCCACTTTCTAACACCTCCATTTGTGCCCAGTGACCTGCCTACCCCGCCAAGTTCTTCTCTGGGGTCCTACCATGAAGTTTAGGTTTAAATAGAGGGTAAGGGGTATGCATAGCTAAGCAGTCCTGGACAAGGTGTGGTCCTGCCCACCATGGACCCAACATCTTCTTTACTCCAGTCTTCCCTGAAAGATGGCCTGGCTGGTAGCCAGAGCTGTCTGAAGTCTCCCCTAGAGAGACAACCCCCAAGCCCCCTCTCCTTTGACTGGCACTGAGGTCTTAGCCTTTTTCTTCTCTAGGTATAAAACTCCTAGACTTGGGAGTCATGATCTCAAAAGTTTGATAGTGGAAGGGAATGGCACAGGCGTCTTTCCTTAGGATGTGTCCCTCCCACCGGGACTGTTAAATTCCACAGTGCTTCTGGCTCTGTGCATTCCAGGCTAGGTCTCTAATTTGCTGTGATCTTGTTGCTATACGACTTTTTTTACTTGTGGCTATCTCAAGGTACATCAGGGTCATTGCATGTTTGAATGAACCCCTTATTCTACCATTGGTTTTGTGTTGACTACTAAGTTATCATTTTGGTCCTGAGCCTACAGAGCCCTCAAACACAGGATCAAGCAGTCCTTTCTGCTGATACTCTGAACATAGGACCTGGCCGTGTTTCCTGGTCTTAGCTCACTCAAGCTCAGGACTTGGCTCCTGATCCCTTGAGCCATTCCCGTTATCTTCCTCCCCTCATCCCTGTCCTTTTGACTTTCATCATGGAGGCCCTGACCTGTTATTCTCAGTTCTACAATGACTGAAAGTTCTGCACACAGTCCTCAGAGCTCTTGGCCAGAACCCTGTTGGCTGACACTAGATAGAACCATCTCCAGTCCCAAAGACCCTGAAGGAGATACAGACCTTCTGGATTGCTTTCCTGGGTTTCTTAGGTGCAACTCTTCCTCCTTCCTTCCTTCCTTCCTTCCTTCCCTACTTCCATCCTTCCTTCCTACCCCTTCCTTACTCTCTCCCCCCTCTCTTTTATCAGAATCTACAGCATAACACAGGATTGTGTTGAACTCTCAGTTCTCCTGTATCTACCTATTCAGTGTTGGAATTACTAGTATATACCAGCATGCCCAGCCTGGGTTTATATGCTTTCTATACCCAGGTCTAAAATATCCTGGTCTGGCTATCCCACAATATCTGGTCTAGCAGCAGGGTAGTTTTGCCATGGATCTTCTGGGGATTGATTGCACAACTGACAAGTTTTATCAGCACAGCTAAAGCTCAAATCCCAGGACTCCTGGACTAGCTTCTTGTCTTGGAACCAGAACTCGTGGTGCTTCAAGACCACCAAAGGGAGATAAGCATTGTGAAGTTTTGTAAGCTCATCTGGGAAGCAGATAAATCTCTCTGTGTCCCACTTCTGCTCACTGTCCACTCTCATGGTGGGCCAGTGCCTTTTGAGTGTAAGATCTTGTTTGGATGTCAGAGACAGTCTTAGGGGTGAAATCCCTGCCTTCAATTTTCCTATGCCAGGAGGACTCTGACATGTGCAAAACATCCCACATCCTAATCCTGCTGTCCGGGTCAAGAAAGGTTCTTGGTTCCTTTCCAGTTTGTGGAGTCTTCCAAAGAGCAGTGTCCTAACCCAGCTCTGCAAGCCCAAACCCAAAAGTAATTATGCCCAAATAAGGCTTCATCCTCAAGATAAAGACATCTGTCCTTTTGAGCATTTCATCTCACATGTGAAGGTGATTGGCTAATGCAGGTCCCTGCTGCCAGCAACTTCTCTGGGAGCCATGAAGTCAAAACAGATCTGGTGGGTGAGAGAAAATTCTGGAAAGATGAACAA